ATAGATAGATAGATAGATAGATAGATGAGAGAGAGAGAGAGAGAGAGAGAGAGAGAAATAGATACTGTAAATAACCTAGGACAATAGATGAGTGATCACCGAGCAATAACAGAATGCTTTAAAAAATCCTTGGTCATTGGAAATCTTTTGGACATTATATTTTGTCATCACCAGCTAAAACAGCTATGCAAATTGGGAAGGAATCTGTAGTCCAGCATGAACAGGAGACACCAGATTTAGAAAAAGTTGAAGTAATGGGAAAGCAAGTTACATCAGGAAACTAGGAGAGGAAACGTATCAGGTTTTACTATCAGTTTTGTGTAGTCCAGTCTTGTGTTGGAGTTTACCTGGAAGTAAATTAAAACTTTATTGAGTGAGGACTGATACATGTTCAGAATTTTGCAGCCTAAGGAAGCTTCTATTTTTACTCTACAAATCCTTAGAATAAAGAATGAAGGCAGTTCATCATATCTGGTTACCCAAAAAGATCAAGGAGGGAAAAATAATCACAACTGAGCTGCTAATGTCATACAGCAAAAAAAAAAAAAAAGTCTTCTAATTTCTATTTCACTCAAAAGGGGCAGAAAGAAAAAAAAAAGGGAGAAAACTCAATGACCTGGTGCTTGCAAGCTCATGAAAGGGGAAACGTTCATGTAATGTAATTTACCGTATATACTCTTGTATGAGCCCATCCATGGATAAGCTAACCCTCACATTTTTAAGCAAAACACCATGAAAAATGTGCCATAAAATAAGCTGACCCACATTTTTCATGGTATTTTGGTAAGAAATTTGAACATTGGCTTATCTGTGGCTGGGCTTACCCACAAATATATATGGCATATATGGGTACTTTAAAAAATTATTACCATATATATTCTTGGATAAGCCCATCTGCAGATAAGCCAAACCTGATTTTTGGGGTGTATTTTGACACCTACAATTCTCAGCTTATCTGCAAGTATATATGGTGACTCCTATTCTTTCCTTGTGGGATCCTGCCAGGGAGCAGCAAAACCTTCAAGCTACCATTCCTTTAACAAGGCCTAACACTCAGGAGCAAGAAAGAGAAGAAAGGGAAGGGGAAAACAGAGCCCCACAGAGAAGCAAAACAAAAATGTAGCTTTGCAGCAATCTCAACTATACATCAGTTGAGCCAGAAATAAGTCTGTTCATCATCTCTTATACCGTTGTTACGATGGAACAGCAAAATGCAAGATGTGATTGGAGAAGTTGGGAGCATTGCAAAGAAAAAGGGGCTTTGCAGGAAAAGGATCCCACACATGTTTCTGGGAAAAGAGGCATGAAGTCACCAAAAGGCTTCAAGCTCAGCTCCAAAGCAAGAATTGCTGCCCCAGCCAGAGATGGCTCGTGTCCTACAGAAAGAAAAATCCCCCCACTTCTGTTTCAGATGAAAGGGGAAAACAGAAAACAAGGGGACCTCCCAGGGGACTTGAATGCTGCTAGTGAGGAATCCCCTGCTGAAGGAAAGGTTCAAATTTCTACCCAATCTCAATCCTGCTCTTTTCCTCTGGACGTCTGCAGCCTAGCTGCCAAACTCTCAAGCTGCAGAGAATCCTTCACAAGACCTGAATCTCAGGAGCCAGGAGGAGGAGAAGTAAGACAGTGGGGGAACGGAGTGGTAGTATCTCAGAAGCCAGAAACAACCATCTTTGGTTTGTAGAAGATCCAGGTTCACTCCAAATGAACTGGAAATAAAGCACCTCTGTTGCCACATCACTGCTGTTCAGATGGGAACAGGGAAGGTCAAGAGCTGTTTTCAGTCTTATGCAGAATTCTCAGGTGGAAGTGCCCCAAGTCCTTAAGAAAGAGGGGTAAGTTCCCCTGGCCCTGGTTTTACCTGTTTTCTTCCTTTTCAGCCTTTGATTGGCTCCCCTTCTGCTCCTTCTCATTGTGTCTCTGAAGACACAAAAATAGTTGGCAGAGTCCTTCAACTGGATGACTGGTTTCTTCATGTCGAAAGTCCCTTCTTCCATGTTTTCATGGCAGGTGTGAGCAGCCTGGAAGCCTTGGACTCCTTTTGTTGTTTAGTCGTTAAGTCATGTCCGACTCTTCGTGACCCCATGCACCATATTGCGCCAGGCCTTCCTGTCCTTCACTGCCTCCCTGAGTTTGCTCAGTTTCATGCTCATTGCTTCAGTGATGCTATCTAACCATCTCATCCTCTGCCGTCCTCTTCTCCTTTTGCCTTCAGTCTTTCCCAGCATCAGGGTCTTTTCCAAAGAGTCCTCTCTTCGCATTAGGTGACCAAAGTATCTGAGCTTGAGCTTCAGCATCTCATCCTCTGACGTCCTCTTCTCCTTTTGCCTTCAGTCTTTCCCAGCATCAGGGTCTTTTCCAAAGAGTCCTCTCTTCGCATTAGGTGACCAAAGTATCTGAGCTTGAGCTTCAGTATCAATCCTTCCAATGAGCAATCTGGGTTGATTTCCTTTAAGATTGACTGGTTATACTCAGACAAAAAAACATGGGAGGTTGACCAGCAGGCTGAAGATACCAGAATATGTAATATGAAATAGACAGCTCTGCTTTATAGGAACACCTGAGAGAGACAGGTTGTCCTTTAGTAATGGTCACAAGACACAATGAAGACCAACTCTTTTCTTTTTTTTATATCTACTCACTCTTTTTCTTTTTCTTAAATTTGTACTGCTTTTATAACTGATGGGCTTCAGAACTTATTTTGGTTTTCTTCTAGAACTGCAAATTTTCAAATTGGGCCTGACTGAAAAATTATACAAATGAGAATTAAAAAATCTTACATCAAAGGTATTAATCTTTATTTATTCAGAACTGAATAAAGTTTTGCTATGCCCTTTCAGGATGAGACAATTAAATACAGCACAGCTGACTCCATCTGCAATGGTGGATCACATTTTTTTGAAAAACAGCACTTGGGTAAATATATGGCAAACCGCAGATGTATTTATTAATAAGGACAGCTAAATGCACTATAGAAAAGTCATCATTTGAGATTAATAAATCAAGGGAAGAGAACTACTTTTTCAAGATTACCACCTTGTGATATTACAGTCTCAGGTCCTCAAATGTAGGTGCAAGGTTGGAATGGTTTAAGGTAGTTCCAGGGACAACTTCTAAAAATCCTATTATCAATAAGTCCATCAATCAATCTTAATAGATATTTCACAAAATTATTTCAAAATTATTTTATATGGAATTAGGATATGCATACATACATTTTTGGGTGTTTAGGTGCAGGAGAGGAAGGCAACAAAGTCTGAAAACAATTCCTTTGTTAGAATTTATTTATTTATTTATTTATTTATTTATTTATTTATTTATTTATTTTTATTTATTTGACCAAAAGTATTCTGAAAGGACTAATTAAAACAGAACCACAAGAATATATGGAATCAATATATGCAAGCATTTTGTGCATGTATGGACATGCATTTCTGCCAACAAATTAGCCTGAAGATGAACAAGGAAGTAGGTGGAAACTCTTCTAACGAGGGACAGTACCATAGTTAGCATGACCAACATGGGCATTAAAATTACATTCCTTACCCTAAATCCTTGCCAGAGTTTATAAATTCTCCTGTCTCTGCCCTGTACATTTTATTCCCCCTCTGCAAGTTTTAGAGGAGATGAGTTTTTGACTCACTTCTCACTTCCTTTGTCTCACTGTGTCTCTGAAGGCACAGAAGTAGACAGCAGAGTCGTTCAACTGGACGGCTTGTTTCTGCATGTTGAAAGTCCCTTCTTTCTTGTTCCCATGGGGAGTGTGAGTAGTCTGGAAGCCTTGGACATGGTTATACTCTGTCAAAAAGAGCTTCAGAGGCTGACCAGGAGGCTGAACATACCAGAATGGGTAATGTGTACCAGCAAACTGTGCTTTATAGGAGCAATTGAGAAAGACAGTTTGTCCTTCAGTAACAGTCACAATGCCGGCTGTTTGCTTCACTGACTGTCCTGTGCTTCCTCCTGGACAGAAGATAACATAGAAGGCATGAAGTTAGTTGGAGAGGTAGACAAGCGGATCCTTCTCCCTCTTTTCAAAAACAACTTTGGTGCTGCTTAGACCTTCTTTCTTGCTGCCTGCAAACATCTAAGCTAATTATGAGGGCTACCCTGAACAAATTCCTTCCCAGTTCTGTATTCCTTCCATCACGTCGACCACCAAACACACTGAACTTACACACACACACACACATTGATCACATGAGTACAACAAACTCGTAAAGAAGAGAAATGAAAAAGCAACAGTGTTTTTGTACACAAGGAGGACATTTCTGGAGAAGACTCTCACATCTGACTGCAGCAAGACTATATATCCACAAAGATGGAAAGATTCTGAAATACCCCAAATGGAGGAATGGTTGGTGAAGATGACCGAAGTTGCAGAGATGGCAAAATTGACTTGTTTTATTAGGGAGAAGACAATCAGTACATTTATTAATGACTGGAAACCCTTTACAGACTTTTTGCTGAAAATAGGGGAAAAAATGAACTGGTGGTTTATGGATCTGATGATTGGAAAGGGTAAAATATGGAAAGAAGGGAATTACAGTGTAACATTAAAAAGGGAGGATAGATGATAAATCTATTTGTAACTGCTGTAAAAAAGATCGGAAGTTGCTTCTTTATAATTTTTTTCCTTTTTTTTTTCCTTTTCTTCATCTTCTCAGTTCTTTTCTTTTTCTTAAATTTGTACTGCTTTTATAACTATGTAAAATTCTTCAATAAAAATTAATTTTAAAAAAAGACTCTCACATCTGCAGGTAATGGTATGTGGGAAAGACCTTGGGAGATGGGGCAAAGAGATGCTGCCTAGGAAATGATCAGATAAGAGACAGCATAGCCCACAGCTGCATAATGGGTAGAGCAAGAGGCTCAGAAGAAGCCCTCCCTATGTTTTTGGGCTGTAAAGGGATGGCAGGAGAATTGTACTTTCAGACTTGCAAGATTCTGTTAATGTAGCTTTACAATAAATAGACTTAGCTCATCTGGTTATGTTGCTTGTCTGGTCTACCTAGGTGAGGTTGACACTGCATTGGTTCAAGGCACTACCCAAATGCTTTCTTCGGTGCTGCTATCAAAGATTCCTTACTCCTAAATGCTTTCAAAACAGGATTGTGGAAACCTATACATTGAATGGCACAAACATTCAAAGAACCCCGAGTCCATATACAGTACTTAGAACTACAACAGAATGCAGTTTGAAAATTTCCCTAGCAAAAACACACATCCTTCATTTCAGCTGAATACTTCTGTTCTTGTCATTCCTTGCAGACAATCTACTGCCAATTTCCCAGAGATCTTCCAGAGGATCCTATTATACCTGATTTCAAGGAATCTAAACAACAGAAGATATGCCCAGCCAAGACTTATAGTCTAACATTGGGAGGAAATAAATGACTTACTTAAAAGTGAGAAGATGATAAGCACGGACCAGACCCTCATTGTTTCAGATGAAAAATGGGAGTAACACCCCGCAAAAATCTTTGGAGGACTTCAAAGCTGGTAGTAGCCCTGCCAACTTTGCTGTAAAAGAGACTTAGAGACTATACAGCTCTTTCCTTTCACAAAGAAATGGGCTTCTGACATGTAAATTTGGTGGTAAAAGGAAGTCAAACCACAGGATATGGTTCACAGAGCATATGTGCTACAGAAAACAACATGTGTATGTTTCCCTGAAAGAAAACAGCTGAAAGTACAGGGAACTGGGATGATAGATGAAACAGACAGACAGACAGAGACAGAGAGAGATCCTCATCATATGAAATGTGACTTGGAAAGAGTCATTTTAGAATCTGAAAGGGTTAATATGGAAAGATGCGTTCCAATGTTCAAAGTGCTTCCAGATACACAACTCACAATGCTATCACCTAAATGACATGAAAGTGATTTTTCTTTTCTTCTCTTCTTAATATACGAGGATCAAGATGGACATCTTTTGAAATCCAGAAGGACCAAATGAGAAAGATCTTTCTGCAATCCCCTGAGCCTTCAAAAGTACACTGCCCCCAAAATAGCAGTGTGGCTTTGCTTCCACATTTGGAGAGGAATGGAAAGGAAATAGTTTGTTTACTGTCCATATGGCTTAAAAGACCTAGAAAGGAAAGAGACACATCGCTAGATCAAAAAAAAGGGGGGGGGGAATCAAATTTTCACTTGACACATGCTGTTGATGTCATGATTTGACTTCTCTGTCTTAGGAACTGAGATTGCCAACTGAAAATAAAAATCATAAACACGGCTCATAGCTTCTGTATTGCTTTAAAAACAAAGGACAATAAAGACCAAAATGCTACTAACTGAAAAGAATGGGATATTCTGAACAGACAGGGAAATATATGAAGATGGCATATACAGTTAAGAATCTGCAGAAGATCTGAAGAAGGTGGAGAGACTTATCAGAAGAATAATTTGTCATTAACCTGACTTGCTGGTACTTCTCTGATGGGAAGAGATCTAGAAATATAACCTATTTTCATTCCTGAATGGGGCTGCCAGGTAGGGAACTGTATGAATTTCACCATGGATTCTTGTTCCATGGTTTTGATTCCCAGAAGGCTAAAGGATGAATGTTACCTGAAATAAAACCTGGTTATTTTTCACCTCTCACCTTAAAGAACAAAGAAACTTACTCCCTTTTCAAAATATATGAAGCTTCTTCTAACTCCCCACCCCTTTTGCTACACTCCTTGGAATGACTGTCTGACCATGCAACATATTTTCCATATTGAAATCCCTCTGGCATTCAGGTGTTCATCTTTGTCCATAGAAAAAAATGTTCTCAGGTGTTATCTTTTCAAGAAGAGAATATTTGCAATTACAGTACATCTTATATTACTAGTGTGGCTTAGCATCCCATCATTCCAATGTAGATGTAAGGATAAACTCAAGACAAGTAAAATGAAACAAAAGTCATGAATCCAAAAAACTGGGGAGTCTCTGGATGTCAACGGAGTGAAATACTTCCTGATGTTTAGAGAACATTTCCTATTATCCCAGCCCAGATGGTCATCCTTCTTGGTATCAGACATTGAGGGGCTTCTAGTCCAAGATGTCCTAAAGGTTAATATGATTTTCTACATCTCATTTCCATTGCAAAGTTGATCTGGATGCAAATTCAACTACATTCAGGGACCTTAATCCCAAAGAACCATTGGAACTTTCATTTCTGAGCTCACCTTCATTGTGTTCTCTCCCCTTGTATATTTTTGATTGGCTTCTCATCTACTTCATTCTTGTTCTTTAAAACAATGGACATGTATTTCTAACTTTCTGCCCACAAATCAGCCTGAAGATGAACAAGAAAGTAGGTGGAAACTCTTCTAACAGGGACAGGATCATATCAAGCATGACCGAGATGGCCATTGACATTGAATTTCCTGTCCTAAATCCTTGCCAGAGTTTGTAAATTCTCCTGGCTCCACCATGTACATTTTATTCTCCCTTTGAAAGTTTTTGATTGGCTTCTCATCTCCTTTGTCTCACTGTGTCTCTGAAGGCACAGAAGTAGACAGCAGAGTCCTTCAGTTGGCTGGCTGTTTTCTCCATATGGAAAGTCCCTTTCTTCTTGCTTTCATGGGAGATGTGAGTAGTCTGGAAGCCTTGAGGCTGATTCTCAGACTCTGTCAAAAAGAGCTCCAGAGGCTGACCAGGAGACTGAATGTACCAGTATGTGGAAAATATGCCAGCATTCCCTGCTTCATAGGAACAGTTGAGAGTGATAGGTTGACCCTCTGTGAGAATGACAGTGCCAGTCGTTTGCTCCACCGAATCTCCAGCACTGTGTCCTGTGGAGAAGACCTGAGATTACATGGAAGGACAGCAAACTTCCCTCCACTCGGGACACCAAAAAAATATTCCCCTCTTTTCTCCCATCCTTCCATTCTCACATTTATCCCCATACAGATTTCATTCTTGTTCTTTAAAACAATTTTTAAAAAATGTTTAGATTAATATTTTTCTTCCTTCCTCTTTTTATCTTTCATTCTGCTCTATCCCTTCCTAAGAGACAGAGAGAGAGAGCCAGACAGACAGACAGGGAGAGAAGGAGAGAGAGAAGACCATTTAAACAAATACATACAGGTGCAAGAAGGTTTATGTCATCTTTGGATGGTCATCACTTCTTGACCTTCAGGAGGAGGTTTGGCATCAGCAAACCTTCAGGGCTGCAATGAAAGATTCTAGAGTCTTCTCTATTTCCACTGGTCACCCTAAAGGTATTTTTGGCAGCTTCACTTATTACAGTCTTTTTAATACAAATATTGATTCCTTTAATGACGTTTTGATCAAGAGATGGGGTTGCTTCCTCCCCCCCAAACCCTCCTGGTATTCTGCAATCCCATTTTGCTTCAGTGGCAGTTAATACTTCAAATGCCCCATTTTTTCCGTTAGGTCCTCAATACCGCAAACATGTCAAGAAAGAGTCTAAATGAAACTCAAGGAGTTAGTCCTTGAACTGCATGGCTGTTAAATCCTATAGTTATAGGAAGGAAAACAGGATGAAATATCCAGCAGAGGTGGACTTCTGGAACCCACTCCGGTTTTCTCTTGGACACCCAAAATCTGACATCAGAAGATTTTGATTTAGCAGATCCACAGGAAGCTGGAACATCAAAATCAACATGAAAGATAATAACTTTATGAAGCATGGAAATGAATCACTCACTTAAGAATGACATGATGAATCCACCGCATACCCAGATGAAGGACATGGTTCAAGGAGAGGAGATACACACACACACACACACACACACACACACACACAATAGTTGAAGGATCAGTCTAATTCTCTACATCAACTTCTCAGTTGGATGAGAAAGTTAGATATAAGCAACTGACTCCTTCTCAACTGAATAGCTTCTTTTTCTTCTTTTTTTTAAAGGAGCTTCAGATAAAAGTACTGTAAACCACCAGATGTGGTTGGTGACGAGTTCACCCGAATACCATATAGAAAACTCCACGTTTGGCACTTAAAAAGTCAAGGGTAAAGTTGTGGTATCTCAGGATTGCCCTCCAGTGTCTAAATGTGGTATGACAATTTCAGTGATCAGAAAACAAATTAAAATGTTCAAGATTGCTCCAGAGAGAGAGAGGTTATACAAGCATTCCACTTTTCTTCCTTGATGAAGAAATAATAGGGTGGAAAATGTAGGAGGACAACAGGGGAAAAAAATATTTTTTTTTCAAATTCACAATCTTGCATTGCCAAAAGCTAGTTGCTAGTTTTCCTGCAACATTTCAGCAAGAAACTGGAAGGAAAAAATAAAAGTAATAGCTCACCAACAAGCTTAACACACCTGTAAAAGCAAAATAATCCTCAGCTCACCACAAAAAAAAAAAAAGGATGAAAGTGGGCTGAAGATTGGAACCACATTCTCAATGACATTGGTTCCCTCCCCTAGGCAACCCTTAAGTACAAAAAGGGGCTTCTGCAAGTTAACCCTAAATTGTCCTCCCTGTATTGGGATGAAGCCAGAGTGCTGTGAAATGGACAGTAACA